CTTAAAAAAAAAACTTGTGTAGCCCTGTCTGTGTCAAGGTCAATACATTTCAGGATGTCAAATGACAAAACTTCAAAAACCTTAAAAAAAAAAATGTTCAAAAACTATTTTGAAAATAATTTGCAAGACATTATCTAGACATCTTGAAAACATAATTGTGACCCTGGACCACAAAACCAGTCTTAAGTGTCAATTTTTCGAAATTGATATTTATACATAATCTGAAAGCTGAATAAGTAAGCTTTCCATTGATGTATGTGGTTTGTTAGGATAGGACAACATTTGGCCGAGATGCAACTATTTAAAAATCTAGAATCCAAGGGTGCAAAAAAAGTAAAATATTGAGAAAATCGCCTTTAAAGTTGTCCAAATAAAGTCCTTAGCAATGCATATTACTAATCAAAACTGAAGTTTTGATACATTTACGGTAGGAAACGTACAAAATATCTTCATGGAACATGATCTTTACTTAATATCCTAATGATTTTTGGCCCATACAATGCATTTTTGGCTATTGCTACAATTATACCTGCGCTACTTAAGACTGGTTTTGTGGTCCATGGTCACAATTTAATACTTGAAATCTCTTGTCATATAAACTTTTGTTTTCCAAAAATGTATAAAAAACTAAATTTCTAAGCACATGCATTTTGTTCTACATTTTGAAACGATTGTTCAGCATATTTGCAAAGTAACAGATGAACACTTGCCTTTCTCTTGCTCCTCTGAATGGCCATTTTGGGCAGTAGTTGTTGCAGTTGTTTCCTCTTCACATGCATGGCTGTGATTTTCATATCTTGCTCAAACATTTTACTAGAGATCGCCTGCCGGTAAACTACAGCCATTCAGAGAACACACGTTGATTACTGATAGCAGTTTTTTAGTCGTAGCACAATACTAGCAAACATCCAGAGAACAAAAGCAATGCCAACACTTCCTGTGTGTTCTCTTGCCAAGACAAACCAAATCGTACCTGTGTCTGTGAAGGTCTGGATGTCAAACGTCAGGTCCACGTTAAGATTTTCTGATCCCTCCATTTTTTTGAACACGATACCTATTACCCACATTGTGCTGAACTCCTCCCTGTTTGTACACAACGAAAAGAGCGAGTAAAGAGTCTTCCTATTGCCATCCCTTCCTTTCTTAGGTCGGTTTCAGGCCTTTGTTAAAGCTCAATAAAAGAAAGGACAAAAGCATCTGAAACTCACTTGTCAGTTCCCTCTTTTGGTCCCGGGAATGACTGTGGATTCACATGAGCGAGTGTGATAAACTCATTCTTCTCCAGGTTTCCCACCAGGATTCGGATCTTCGATTCCACGAGGCCCACCCTGTAAGACAAACAGCATATTTAGTCCTAGTCCGCAACATTTTTAAACAGATGCAGGGGACATGAGCAGAACATCGGTCCGATAAAGTGTGTGACAGTGCTGTACTCACCACTCTAAGTGCTGCTTCTCTGCCTGTGCGCTTGCTAGCAACACTATATAATGCCTTGGGACATAAAAGACAGAACAATGCCATTACATCCTTTAGACGAAGAGTTGTTCAACCAAACCCGGCAAAACCTACAGGGCCGCCCCGCCCCGATATCACTGACACTGTACCATTACACTTCTCTCCAAAGACAAATATATCTTCACTCAACACAGCAGGGATCACTCATATCCAGCCAAGAACACACTTCACACACTACAACATGTTAACAGCATCTTTTACAGTAGATCAGAAACACGAAAAGATCTAAATGCTTATCACGTATATCAATCAAGCTGAAAAATTATGTTCTTAATGAGATAGTTCACCCAAAAATGAAAATGTTGTCATTTAGTCACCCTCGAGTTGTCCAAACCTCTATACGTTTCTTTCTTCTCTTAAAAAGCAAAGATATTTTGAAAAATGCTTCCATACTATGGAAGTCAATGGCTACCAGCAACTGTTTGGTTACAGACATTCTTCAAAATATCTTGTGTTCAACAGAAGAGAGAAAATCATACAGGTTTGAAACAACTTGAGGGCAAGTACATGACAAAATTTGCATTTTTGGGTTTAACTAGCCCATCTTGATTCCCACTAAAACTTTACAAAATACATTTATTTAAAGCATAACTGCTTAACTTTGTCCTATAAAAGTGACTCAATACAGGTTACTTGTTATTTGAATAGATGGTCTCATGCACAAACTTTCAGCGTTATATTGTTTAAAAAAATTATGATTTTCTGTGGAACATCTCATATCTTAAATAAATAAAGAGACCAACGCAAAAGCGAGATATTCTGTATTTTGCTAATTAAAAGTTAATAACGTTAGATTAAAATGTTAACATTTTATCCTTTGTGGATGGATTCTTTGTATTTTTCTGCAAAGCAACACACTTTGGACATTTTCCCCACTCTGATTACATATTAGGGGCTTGTCTCAGACAGAACAGAATGCGCTACTGCAAATCAATCACATTTAATCTCTTCTTTGAAACCAGCTAATTGCTACATTGTCTTTAAGGAAGAAATAATGGTGATTATGAATTCTGAGCACCATAATGAACTGTCGCTGCATTCTCATGTGGGGTGAGAAGATTGTCGTACAGTGAAGGGTTTTCAGACAGGTTCAAATTAGCTAAAATTGGTTAAAGTTTGACCCCCTAAAACCCCCACTAACAAAAAACAACTGTTGACTAGAAAAAAGCAATGTGCTGCTTTAGACCTCTATTAACCATTAAAAATATCCAAAAGTCTTATTTCTTTAGTTTGAATTTAGTTCTTTTGACTGAGATATTGACTTTAAGCCATTATGAAGAACTTCACACCACACTAATTAAAAATAAAAAAACACAGACAGACTAAATGCTAAACATTAATGGAAATAGAAAACAAAATAAACACTATGAAAACACAGACTAACAAGAAATACATTGTACAAATTGTGAACTAAAACATTTTATTTTTGAATTGTATACAAATTAATATAAGACAAGAAAACCAGTAAAACCTTTTTTTTTTATTTTTTTTATAGAAAATCATTTAAAACTTAATACCTACCTTTTAAAAATATAAATTTAACCATCTCTAAAAAAAAAAAGTTGCTTACATTTCAGGCATGCTCTACAATCGTAACGTTTACACATTTTAATTGTCAAAAATGCTGACGTACCATAAAAGCCATTGTGTTTTACTCCATATGCATAAACTGATAGTAAGCAAAATGCTTTTATTTCAAACTGATGACACTGATTACATGAAATAATAATTGTGAAAGGGCTATGAATGTGTGTGGGTGCAGCTTTGAGAAATAAATCTTTATTGAAATGATTAAATCTCACCATGAGTGTCCAACAGGATATGCAGCTTAATACATACTTGTATTTCTGAAAGAAGTTTGGTGCTTCAAATAGTTTGGACCAATCTGCTTTATTCTGCAATATTTCATCCGTGATTGCAAGACCTGTGAGGAGTTAAACAATTGAAATGTGAGTCAAACACGTGTACTATTTCAGTTTTGAAAAATTCAAGGTGAACAATGTAAAATGTTTTATTTTGTGTTACACTGCAGAAAGTAAGTCATGCAGGTTTGAAACGACATGAGGGTGAGAAAATGTTGACATTACATTTTTTAAATGATTATTTTCATTATTCTAGGAGAATATTTCTAGGGATCTTCAGAACTGAGACTGACCACGCTTGAACTCTTCCACCATGATGGCCCGAGTAGAAGCGGACACATTGTAAGTGGAGTTTTGTTGAGGGTAAGCTGGTGTGATGATTGGCATGAGGTGGTACCGGTCACTGGGGGTTACCTAGGAGGAAAAAGAAGAAAAAAAAACATTAGCAGTGCAATAAATCACAATTCATTCACATAGCCTAAGGTGAATAATCTAACTGAAACCGCACAGGAAAATCATTGTACCTTTTAGTAAAATACATGCTAAATGTGGTGTCTATAGAGGTCTGTGCAGAAAGCTTGAATAAGATTTATGTCTAATGAAAATGTTTGTATAATGTTACATGACAGCAAAATAAGAAAGCAATATTCTGAACATTTACGATATATTCAATATTATTTTCATATAAAATTACCCAGCACCATGAATATTGTGATGACTTTAATGTGCTTCTTATTAGTTTAATACATTTCCTGACTGTCAGTTTTGTACTCATTACCTATATCGAGACTTAAAGGGTTAGTTCACCCAAAAATGAAAATTAGTCCATAAATTACTCACCCTCAAGTCATCCTAGGTGTATATGACTTTCTTCTTTCAGACGAATCCAGTCGGAGTTATATTAAAAATTGTCTTTGATCTTTCAAGCTGTTTAATGCCACTCAGCGGGTGTTGCATGCATCAGTCCAAAAGAAGTGAAATAAAAAGCGCCCATCCATAAAATAAAACAGTGTCTCACACGGCTCCGGGGGGTGAACAAAAGCCTCCTGTAGCGAATCGATGCGTTATTTTTTTAAGAAAAATATCCATATTCAAAATGTAATAATCACTTTAATGTACCCCGGAGCCGTGTGAGACATTTTTTTTAATGGATGGGCGCTTTTTATTTGACTTCTTTTGGACCGATGCACTGCAACACCCGCTGAGTGCCATGAAACAGCTTGAAAGATCAAAGACAATTTTTTATATAACTCCGACTGGATTCGTCTGAAAGAAGAAAGTCATATACACCTAGGATGACTTGAGGGTGAGTAATTTATGGGCTAATTTTCATTTTTGGGTGAACTAACCCTTTAAGTAAGTAACCAAGGCATTTTAAAAGTCTCAATCTTAATGTTTGGTGCTCTCAAAACATTGCTTGATTTAGCACTTATTACTAAAGTGCTTAAAAATCTTGTAACCTCAAATACCGGAAATGTCATTGGAAGTCTGATTAATTTCCACAAGTCACTTTCCCAATTCTACGTACGTTTTAAATTCTCCCCACATAGATTTTAAATTATACATAAGTGAAAATAGTTATTTACTGATATATACAGATATTTGAAAATTGCTATGCCTTGATTATTTTAACTTCTAACCTGAAATTTTCTTGGCAAGAATGGATTTTTTGGTTTAAATGTTTTGTTGGCAATAAAAACACTGAATGCTCTCAAAATATATTTTAATATCATAGCCTTACAACACAAAACAAATAAACAGCCAAATAAATCAATGAATAAGTACCCTGGGATCCCAGACTGGGAGGTTGAGATTACAGTCTTCAGGCTGCTTCAGAAGGACTGGGTTTGGCCATTCCCTAAAAAAACACCAGCCAGGAAGAAAAAGAACTAATAAATGAATCTAAAGAGAATGGGTCTCTGAAAACAAAGACCAGACGTTTGTATTCATATTCTCTGTTATCTCATTGACTTCAAACCAGTGGTGTCGAGGGCAGTTTGAAAAACTCACCACTTTGAGAAAACCAAGAAGAACTTATGGACCAGTGTGGATGCCACAGCATTGGGGTAGAGCTGGCAGGTTCTTGCAACCAACATGGCCCACGATACGCCCCCCAGAAAACCCAGAATATTTGAGTAGATATTATGACCTGTAAGAGATTCAAATAATGTCATTTATTTCGTAATTTCTGTAAAACTCCGAATCAACCACATAAATGAACGGCCCTGTCATTTTTTTTCAATTTCACATCCTGACTAAGGTTAAATTAAGCATTTATAAAAGCCAAATGGCAATCAAGGATAGATTGTTTTTCAATAAAGTGCAAACATGAGCACGTACTGGTTGTTAGGCAGCAAATGCAAGCCAAACGAATCTCCCGAGGCACAATGCTGCAGTGTTGCTTTTCATTGACTGCACTAATACCCACAAACACAACAGGTCATTTAAGGTCACGGTGGGGTTTGTTTTCACATAAGACCAGCTGTGACATGTTCCACAAACAGAGTAAATGCAAAGCTGACACACAAGCAACTACTCACGTTTGGCCCACATTTTGATGGCTCTTAGAGTCAGTCTGAAATTCTCTATGTTGGGCACCAGGTGAAGAATTTCATCAGTAACCCTGCAACCTGTAAGTCAGCAGAATGAGAAAAAAGAAAAAAAAAAAAAAAAGTACATAAATCAAGATTACCAGGGGAAAACTTAAACAAGCAAACAAAATTTGGGGCTGGGTTGACAACATCAGTTAATCGACTTTATTCAACCTTCATTTTGATGAACTGATACGGATTCTTAAATTCCAAGATCAATCTTTTAGTCTCTGCTGTTTTCTGTTGATGCGTGGTTTACTAAACATTACTTGTAGTGCAGAGTCCAACTAATAATCACAATAAGCTTTGCGAATTACTACTTTTGACACAGAAAAGTCTCAGCTTTGAAACGGTCAAGTTTTTTTTGCAAAATGCAAACAATCCTCATCTCTTCCTCTTTACTATTAGTTATAGCACAAAATAAACATGAATGAACATCAGGTGTTCCATCTATCATGTTTTGTGAAATCGCTCAATGTTTCAACTGCGGAAAGACGTCATTAAATCAGCTTGTAAACAATATCATCTAAGACTGCATTTTTCCTCAGGAAAGCCATTCAATGTTCATATCTCATTAGTTAGCAAGAAAAAAAAAAGATTTAGCTAAAAATGCTCCAGCTTACATTATAAAATTTAATTTTTAGTTAACCTGCAAAGGACCTCTCATATATTGTATGTTTAAATTAATCTGTCATAAAAACAATTATTAGATATAATTTAAATGTTTGTATTTCAACAATAAATTAGGGTAGAAACAATGACATCATTAAAGTTTATTAAAAACTGCCTTTTGAGCAATTTAAAAGTTTGTATGCAACTTTTTTGAGTGTTTATTATATCTAAAAATGCACAGCAATAGAATTTGTTGGACTCTTTAATTACCCTTTAAAATAAGGTAATGTACCAACTGACGGGGTTCCCTGTATAGTGTACAGATTTGTTGAGAGATTGTTTTTCTTTAGATAAACTGACATGATATATATCCAAACAAATTGATATTGAATCAAAATCAAGATCTTGTGAATCAGAATCAATTCTGAAAATGTCAATACACAGCCCCAACATCAATTATGACCAATTAGCTACCGTTCAAACTCCGGATGCAGCGAATGTCAAGGTTCTTTAGCAAGCCATCATCTCGCAAATCCAGGTTCTCTGGAATGGTTTGTAGTGCCAGTCGGGCAAATAGTATGTCAATCTACAATCAACATATTACAAAAAAATAATACTTAAAACGACATTAAGGGTGAAAAAATATCAATTTCGGCATGAACTATTCCTTTATATGTAAGGACATTTACATTTAGCAGACGCTTTTATCCAAAGCGACTTACAAATGAGGATAATAAAAGCAGTCAAAACTAACAAAAGAGCAACAATATATAAGTGCAAATGACAAGTCTCGGTTAGCCTAACGCAGTACACGTAGCAAGGTGTATATATAATGAATTTAGGTAAATGAGTGCAGACCCAGTGGTGGTTTTGTAGGCAAACTACAGCTACTGGTAGCCAGTGCAAATAAAAAGGTGTGACTGGTGTACTGGTAGCCAGTGCAAAAAAAAAAAAAGGTGTGACATGCGTTCTTTTCGGCTCATTAAAGATTAATCTTGCAGCGGCATTTTGGATTAATTGTAGAGGTTTGATAGAAGTGGCTGGAAAACTTTAAAACATTTTTTTTTTTTAATTACCTCAATGCCATCAAAAGACAGCTTTATCACTGGTACAAAGGCTTCCTCCACCGCCTAGAAGGCAAAAGCAAAAATCAATCATTAAGCCTCACAGATATTGCAGGGAAGATGTATACTGTACATGTACACCACACATAAAAAGCAGCATACCCTCAGGTCTTTGACTTCCTCCTGCTCCTTTAATTTCTCATAGAACGAGGAGAAGAAGTCTGATCTCTCCACATGACGGGGCACAACGCAGAGAGCATCAATATCAGCACCTACACAATTAGGTTAGTGAATGAGATATTGCAGACACACAGAGACTATGTGAAGTACACGTATCAATCTATCGAGAACTAGTGTATAACACGTACCCTTGGTATGAACTCCAAGTCTGTAGGATCCAAACGTGAAGATTTTTCCACCAACATTATCAATCACTGATGCTGGAATATTCTGTGATTATATGAAAATATATAACAGTTAGTATCTGTGAGCAGTTATTCAGAAGTTTATGTATGTATATAATAATTAAAAGGCCAATAAGATACCTTAACTTCACTGACTTCACGGATCCACACCTTAACCAACGTATTTAGCTTCCCAAGCACTAGGATTCTGTGGGCAAAAGAAACATCTCAAAACAAAAGCAATACGATGAAGACTAAAGCTGGGTCAAGAGTATGTTGTACACATTTATGGAAAAGGTGGGGCAAGTGATTTCTGGTAGCCAATGTTGATATTTCAAATCACCAAAACAAACACGCCCCTATTCCAAAAGGGTGTCGCCCCTATTTTGATAGCTCCGCCCTACACATAGGTACGCAACCTAGGCAACGATTAGTTCTGTGAAACAAAGCAAAACCAATGTTACACCATGTCTACACCGGACGTGAGCAGCGCGACAAAATACTATAGAACTCATTATAATCAGTGATGCTGACTACACAATATATGCGGCGCGACACGACAAATCCCCGACAGAAAACTGCTGCTGCGTTCTATTTATGACGTATTGACACATATTTCAAATGATTTTCAACAGTCGCTTTGTCATGTCCAGTGTAGACAGACTTTAGCTGTTGCGGCGCGGCGTGACAACTGTCGTGTCTGGTGTAGACACGGTGTTACTCATCTATCGAGAAGAAACAAAGCAACCTCAGCGTCCG